CTGATAGAAAGTAAACACTGGACAAAAAGGTTTGGAAAAGATTTATTAAACTCTAAAATCTATTCATTTGAAAAGGAAACAACAAAACCAAGGAGATCTTTCGTAAACAAGTTTAAAACACCGGTAATGAGATATATAAATCATTATTGGGCACGAGCAGACTTCCTCTGCGAATACACTTTGAAGCGAGCATAAGCCCGAGCAAGCATACTGTAGCAGTGTTGAACCTGAATTTCAACTCTTTTCCTTGAATAATTAAAACATTTGACCACGAAATACACAGCTCAAAGGACGCTTCGAATCGTTCGTAAGCAGAACAAACGTTTTGTTTTCCAAATTGGCGTTCTGCTTCTCGTAGCTGATTGTTTTCATAAGTGTGAAGAGTTTGGATCATTCGTTGGAGCTGAAATTGTTCTGAATATGACACACTCAAATAGGTTAAGCACATTCAACAGCTAGAAATCATTTAGAGATTGCATGACCACCTCACCTTATCCTCTAGTTCAGGTGTGACTGGCGGAAAGCACATCCAAAAATGTTTTAAAAGTTCTGCGACTGCATCATGGATAGCTCGCAGTTCATTGAGTTGAAGAGGTGACAATCCCCATTCTGATGGATCACCACATCCTTCTTCAGCTCTGTCATGCTCGGTACCATTCTAAAAACACATTAGAACGCCTCAGTAATGCAGAAGACGTATGAAAAATACCCACAACCTCACCATATCACTATCGGTAACTTCGAAATTAACTAGCTCTTCGTCTTCGGGAATCAATATATCCTGGAATGATTGTATAAGCCGACTTCCTTTAAAAACTTTGCTGTACATTATCTTGGAAGATAAGAAAATCACCTCATCTGAAGAGCTTTCCAAGAGTGTAAGAACAACGTCCTTGAAATTGGCAGCTTCCTCAGGTGAAAACCTTCGCTGGAAAATGGTCGGTGAAACATACTGCATAGAACAAAACAGAAAAAGATGCTGCAAGCAGGACCACCAAGCTACTGTTGGGCAACATTTAACATTACAATATGATACAATTGTAATGCTTTTACAATTACGGAACAACACAAATGTGCTGATGTAGGAAAAACAGAATTTTAAGAAGAGGGAGCATTACCATTACTGCTGGACAGGAAAAATAAATTCAAAAGCAATTCTACATACGCCATAATATCATTTGCTCTGAAGCCTCGGAAAAAGATGACCACTCTGAGAACCAAGGAAACAAAAAACAAGAACGGTAGTGGAGGGAGGACTAACATTTACGCCTTCGTGATCAGCATTGATGCTGAGGTTCAGACACTCCTGCGGCCCAACTTGATCCATCAATTCACTTGACTCCAGTCTACTTTCTTCCTCTTCAATTATCCTCTGAATACAATTAACAGTAGTTTTGATGAACCAGTAAACACCGTAAAGAAGTAGAGTTCTGACAACTCTGCGACCCACAAAATCAATACCTACACATAAAAAGGGGAAGCCTCACATTCAAAACACCGAAGCCTGAGAGTTTCGATGGAGAGCTGCTTTCATCCGAAGTAGAGGTGGATGGTTTCAAAGCAGACAGTATTTTTTCGGATAAGTAATTACAACGCCTAACAAGAGTGGTCTTCGCAGATGGTTTGGAGGTCTCCGGTTTCTGAATGAAAATTTCCAAAACTCATCAAAATGGGAGAAAATAACGTGAAATCACCGTGAACTCTTTGATAACATTGTCGTCTAGATGTTCCAAGTCAAATCGTTTGCGATAAACACCATCACCATGCATTTTATCCATTTCAGCCTCATCCATTCTTACGCAGTCAGAAAATGGATCATTGGGATTAGGCAGTACCTTAAGATCAGCTTTCATAGTGCAATTGAAATGAAAGTAAGTGAAAATGTTTCATTACAACACGACACCTCTCTTTCCCTGTGGAAGTAGTGTGACTGGAAAAACTTCGTCCAGAATTGCGACTCAGTCATCTCATGGGGAACAAGCTCGAGATGTTTCTTCTCAACTAAAAACACCGACTAACACATGTTCAACTACAAGGAAGTGAGATTAAAATTAACCTGCTGGATAAGTGTTGAAAACTGCTTGAATGATTTCAGTATTCAGATTTAACTTTATGCCATTTGTTCCCTCTTGTTGCACGATATTTGTGAGGAACGCACCACTTATTCCAGTTTTATCTTCTACAGTACCACTCTGAAAAGTAAAGAACCAAAACGCCATCTCAGAAAGAGCAATCTTAAAACAGAACATATAGGAGAGACAATCTCATCAAGCCTTACAGAGCTGTAGTAATCGGTCCAGAAATCCTGAGCACTTATCAATTTGGAAGCCACGAGGTGAGTATACAATTGATCGAGCTGTTTATTCTCTCCGAGAATTCGTTGTTTCTCCCTAAGTTCGGTCTGCTTGATATCGTGCTCATTGGTTGCAGCTAACTAAAAAATGTAAAGTTGAATGTAACAGACTGCATTAGTATGATTAAAAGAGCATAATTTTTATGATTAAAAGAGCATAATTTTATGCAAATACCTAACAAGGCGTTTGTTGAAAAAAAAGAGTGATATACACCCCGATTGAAAACTCCCCATTGTGTAAAAGTGGATGCTTTCACATTTGTAACACAGTATTGCAGTGATGGATGTTGGAAAGAAATGCCCAAAACATATCTTTGAGCTAGATTATATTACAGTACTATGAGAATGGGTCAGAGAAAGATTCACAACAGCCCTTAGATTCTCTTTTCCCCTCCTTCCAATAGTAAATATGGGCGGAACGGCTTCGACAACAAGAAAAAAAGCAAGTAGTTCGCAAACCAACCTGATTAACCCGTTGACGGTGGGCAATCAAAGACTGTTGAAGCGTTTCCTTGAGGAGATCCCGTTCCTTGATCAAGGCCTCTTTGTCAAGCGCAGGATTCAAGAACACGAACGTTGCTTGGTCATCATTTTGAAGCACCAACTGCAACTGAACCTTCGACTTGTTAGGCGGAGAAACACGCTGACCTAAGAGAAGCAAATATCCACCCAAAGAAATAGCAAAGGATATCCTTCTAGTTGGAACGAAAGAAGTAATAAACCTTTGATTTGCATGAATTTCACGTAAAGGATTTCCGGTCCAGCATTATCTCTCCATTCCACATGTTCCCTTAAATGATCACACTTGTCCTTTTGAAGAAAAGAAGAAACATCTACTTAATGCGTTCTATGCCGCACACCTCACCTAGAAACAAACAGCCAAATAGCAAGTTAAGGCCTCCTTAAACGAAAAAACAATAAATGAACGCAAAAAAGTAGACAAATGTACTTGTACAACAGCAACCGGCCAATTGGTGATCTTCCATCCCCAGACTTCCTATACTTCACGTGATCCAGGGAGAGCAGCAGCTCAGACGTGTCGATCATTCTTGAATGTGTCGTTATAATTTCCAGCAGAACAAGATATCCTAACACCCGCACTACACTTCCCGAACATTTCGGGATTTTGAGTTTCGAATCGTAAAATGACTGGTGGTATACGTAGCGCTTCTACGTATACCACATCTTACAGTACGAGCATCAGTGTGATCTCTTGCCCGCAAATATTTTTTGGCTTATTTTCTTGTTTTTTGCTCATCTTTTTTAGTATGTGGGGTGGTTCAGGGTGAATTTCCTGTTGTGCAGATGTCGAGATTTTGATGCTTTTTCTGTAAAAATCACAGGTGGTGGTGTACACTTTCCAAGTTGTGCTGTAAGTTTAGAATTCGTCTAACAACCATGGCAAAGGAAACAAGCCGCTCCCCAGGAAGCGAAACGCGAATTTTGGTACCGGATGATTCGAATAACGTAGAAGGAGTGCTATCATTCTCCACCCCGATGACAGCTTCAGTACCACCCATAGAGAACGAATCCGAAGAAAATGAACGTGAACGAGAGAAAAAGTGGAATCGGAAATCCCTTGATGAGCACAAAACGAAGCGGAGAGAGACGTCTACGTCATTTTCTAGTTTCCTCCATCGTTTCACTAGATCAGAGGATAAAAAGGAGGACAAACAAAAAATTTCGATATGCGAAGAAGAAACACTTCATCGACCAGATAAGCTGCCGCTACCTGATATCGAGGAAAACTGGTACGAAATGAAACACATGGGAATGGACGGTTTTCGCACTGCTCTGGAAATAGGTTAGTTCCTGTTTTGAAAATTTTCTGTTGGTCGTGATGTAGAGAACTTTATACGCTTCTGAATAGTCATCAGAAACCATCTTACAAAAGTTGCTATGTCAAGAATGTTTTAAACAGTCATTAATTATACCATTATATGTATAACATTTAAGGACACGAAGGCGGTGCGGCAATCTACGAATGGAAGGTCGACTCTTTAGAGGAGTCACTTCTAACGGAGTTTGTACCTGCTCGTAAGGAATTGATACGTGTTGAACACTCTGATCCTGATCTGGACGACTTGGAACGCTCAATGCTGAAGCTTCTTGAGGAATTCCGGAGTGGCCAAATGCGATCATTGACTGACGAGCAAATGGAGAGCATGCGAAAAATGAAAAAAGAGCATGAAGATGTTACGAATCTTCACCTAGCGCTTTACAATCTCGACAAAACTGGATGTGAGAGAAGTGAAGAGGAGTTAGATGTTATGTACGACAAGCTCAGCCAAAAACTTCTTTCTATGCATGGCTGTATGCCAGCATTTGTCCATAGTGATTAGTTCAGCATTTCACTACTTTCTAGGATACATTTCCATCGAGACATACATTTGCTAAATGTTGCTTTAGTATCCTCAAACAGGGGCAGTCGTGAAATACGGAATCTTATCGGGAAGGAATGTTCCAACTTTTTGAAAAGAAGAGGGGAAGTGGACATTTTTCAAGTTGCAAAATGTGTAGTTTCTACGGTTTATTTTCCTTGCCGGCCTGCTCACTCATGCGCTTGGCTATCACGGGTAATGAAGATGAGAGATCTAAATCATATCCGAAGGTCTCTGTAATTTCTCCATGTTCTAGCTCTGCATAGTATAATTGTATGTATTTTGATTCCTAGTCCACTCTTTGAATGTCCCTGTGCTTTTTCCATGAGTCTTGTCTTTGTATGTGTCTAGTTATTGCTTTCTTTGAGTATCGTCATGTACATATGCTAAACGTATGTTGATAATAAATTTGTAGGTAATTGGACAGCTTGTGGAAGCTGAATGAGTGCTATAATAGCCAAGCTCTTCACCGACATGCCTAACATCGAGGGACTACTAAAGATCATTAATGAGATTCCTGAAGGCGATGGTGAGCCAGTCTAATTGTTCCACTAAAAACGTCTTCCTTAATTTACTCTATCCCGCGAAATTCGTTACTGTTGATGTTACTCCTTTTTAATCCGTATGCTTTTCAGAAGGCGCTCCTGAAAAGGTCGCTGAAATTGCACGGAAATATAAGGACGTCTTTGAGAAGAAGCCTGGAGAAGTAGAGCACTTCCTTACAAATTGCAATCCGAGGATAGGATCGGTAAATTTTCTGTTATTAATCTCGTTTATCCAAACGGGTCCAAACTGATCAGCAAGATCAGGTTAACTTCATTCTTCCTTAATATGTTTGAAAGACTCTCATTCTTCTTAATATGTTTGAAAGACTCTCATTCTTCTTAATATGTTTGAAAGACTCTCGTCGAGTTTTTCTTTCTCGCTAAATTAATCGTACACAGCTTGCGACTTCAACGGTTGCGGTACACGCCGATGTGGTTCGCGGTAGGCAGCTTACCTTGCCCTCTTCCGTTCAACCCACTGTTTAGGAACGGTTATGGTTGCTTAGCTCTTGCGTGGTCAGCCAGGCGACATTCTGCACTGCACAGTGACATTCACGCTGCTAAACAAACACTGGATCCAATTTTTCTACAGCATACGAATGGTAAAGGGGTTCTTCGGCACCACTATCCCATTCGCATAGAAGAATGCGACCTCAAATGCTTGAACTATCGCTTTATGAATCATTTGCTTGATTTCAGAGGAGTAGATGCTGTCAAATTTTAACTTCTCTCATATTCAGTCGAAGCTAATCCATCTCAGAGAATTGCACAATTGCTCTCCCTATGTTTGATGAAACTATTTGAGTCCAATTTGTTCCTGGGCTCTTTTCCTATGTAGTCTCTGTTTCTTTTCAGTCTTGCTGGTGCCATCGTTTTCTACAATAAGAATCTTGTCGCAAGTTGACCGAATATAGGATATGCTCCTATGTTTTTTGTTTATTACTCAGCAGGCGTTTTGTCAGGGTTCTGAAACCTGGAACAGTGCAGAGGCATATTGGGCGCACTCGGTTACTCACTGAAGCTCGTCTTCAGATCTTCTTCCCCTACAGTCATACATGATTCCTGTCCTATTTTGTCTAGGCACAGCTACTTCTAGACGCGAAATTATCACTTTTATAGAATACTGGTCCGTTTTGAGAAGAGAAACTTTCTCGTCGTAGTCAGTTTTCTAACTTTTGGCCTCGTGCCTTGGACCTTTCCATTTTTTTTCTCAGCAGTCCATGATTTTACAGTTTTTTTTGAGGCTGAATTTTTTTAGGCAGCAATGATGGTAGCCATCAAGGCCCTCTATGATAGTTCCATCGCAAAGAATAATGAGCAGGGTGCTGACAGAGCTGTTGAATTCCTAAAACATTTCATTGAGAGTGGCAATATGGTAGTGGAGCATTTGAAACTTGTTCCAGATGTCGGTTAGTCCATTTATTGTCATTCTAAAATGTACATCTCTTGACATCAAGGAAGCGGCGGACTTCACAGAATAATCTCGTATTCAATATATTTTTTTTCAGTTTTTCCGCTTGCCAGGAATGCCGTTAACTATTGTCTAAGGAAAAAGAATGAAGTGAGTTGAGTTTTGGAGTTTTCTCTTTTCTGTACAAATTTGTTCCGAAAACGGCACCACCTTGTTCAGCCTCAAATAGGGCTTGATCTCGCTCTATCGGCAATGCGAGTATTGGTTGATCCTAATGAAGGTGTTGTGTCCTCTCTCCACTCCGCCTTATTCGCTGTTTGTGTTCGTTTGAACAACGTTGACGCGGCCCTGCCATACATATATAGAAATGTCACTGCTTTAGTAAATGAGGTGCGTTTTTTTATTCGAAGAAAACTTGAATATGGGCGCATTTCTGAGCTATCACCAGGAATACATTTTACTGTTCAGTTTCTACCTTCCTCTGCTTTTCCTTTGCTTCAAGAAATGTAATGAAATTTAACTGTTTGCATTGTCATCTTTACGATTCTTCATCAACTAAGGATTACTCCTATTTTCCGCGCTTTTTTTTGCAACCACTTGTTAATTGTTAACAGAGTCCTGTCAGCACATCTGACTCAACTACGGAAAATGTGCAACATGTTCGTAAACAGCGAGCGATTACTGCACCAGTGCCGGTCTACTTTGAGTCAAAGTATATGCTTTTGTATCTCTACTATGGAGCTATTCTTCTAATGAGAAGGGTGAGTTCTACATTTGTTATTGCGTTTTGTATTATATCTGAGGTCGGGCTTTGAAATCGTGGTAATTAAGAATGAACTACGCCGTGCTATTTCTCTATTGGAAAGTGCTATATTGATACCTGGTTCTGCTACAAGTGTCGCACAGCTGGATGCACTAAAAAAGTGGGTTAAGTACCTTCTCCAGAGATTATATTTTTGGTGTCCCATTTTAGTTGTTTGAGTTCCATTTTCTACTGGCAATGGCGATTCTCCCTCTTATTTCGGAATAGTTTGTTATCCAAAAATCCTTCCTCTGAATCTATTCTATTCATGAGAATTATATTTAGATTCTATCTCGCGAGCTTGTTGTATTCTGGTAAAATTATCATGCCAGCTGGTCGCTCATCAGCGTTAACTCGCGCTTGGAAACTGGTAGGGGATCCATATGCGCTCTTGCGACGGCTGTTCAGTCAGCCGGAGATCGAGCAAGTGCTGTAGAGAAAGTGCTCAATGACAACAGGAAGGTGTTCACTGAGGTGCGTGGCGAGAAGAGCTTGATTTTCATTAACGTTATTATGGATGCTCCACTTAGGATGGCGCAGTAGGGCTGATTACACGAATTATAAAGGAACTTCGAGAGAAGGCAGTTCTTTCTGTTGCAAAGGTTGGTTGTAATTCTTACCATGCATGCTGTGATGCGAATAACCAATTTTTACCGTTTGCAGTCATTTTCATCAATTCCTCTCGCTGATTTGGCTGCTCGAGCATATCTTGATACGGACGCGGCAGTCGAAATAATGGAAGTAAGTATAGGTAGATTTTATGCTCAGTAGAACCTTATTTTATGTGATATATTTCAGACACTGTATTCAAGCGTGGAAAATTGCTAGCTGAGGTTTCTATAAGTGAAGGTGTTGTTCGGCTTGAGGTCGTTCCAGAGAAAATAAACAACCATGATGTTGTTTCTAAATTAGAAAGGTATGCTTTAGTACTTATAGGTTTGAAAAGGCAGTAGTATATGTATCAGTGGTTATGAGCGATCAATTTTCTCGCATTCGACAGTTTCGTTGATCAGCGTTTCTTTACCAATTTCTCAGAACTGATCGCAAAAATGGAAGGTGATTGATAGCTGTCTGTTTCAGTCCTTGAATTTTACCATAACTGTCTCGCAGGGTGCAACCTATCATGTTGTGAGACTGTAGAAGTGGCTGGGTGCCGAGTCACCTCTGTTATTTTAGATACATCTGGAAACCGTTCTCTTGAGCTATGCCTTTAACTTTATCAAGAAATTAGGAAGTCAGGCGAAGGGTTTCTCTTGGGTACGGTCATCGTTACAAAGTTGATTTCAAAAAGGGAAGTGCCTAGCTTGAATCGATGCTGCGAGCTCAGGGTTTTGCTAGGACCTTCAAGTTAGATCAGTATGCTATACGAAGTTATTACGTAATCGTTTACGGAACCATTCTCAGGTGTAGGGATTAGTATCTTCGACACTTACACCTTGCACTGCTTAAAACATTCTAGTCAGTGACTATTGAGCAGTATTACTTTTTTTCAGGTTAAACGTATTACGGCAGGAGATGGAGAGAATGGATGCGGTTGCTCAACTTCACCCTGCTCTTCTGCAAAGATGCATGAAAACTACCGCATTGTTGCCTTATTGTTTCCCAACGAACGAGGATGAGGGTCTTGGAATGAGTAGCAGTCCTTTGGAATACTAGTCATTCTTCAATGTCGGATTAGAGGTAGTCAATATTTTAATTACTTTGGCGTGCCTGACTCAGAGAAGAGCATAATATCGATGAGTTTCAGGAATGCCGTGGACGGTGCAGTCCCGTGATAGAGATAAAAATGGTGTACATTGATTCACTCTCCGCTCTCATGTAGATAATTTGTCCGCCTAAAGGAACTAAGTATGCTGCGCTCATTTTCTTAGATTAGTGTTCGATGTGCTGAGACTTCAATTGCCGTTTAATTTTTTGCATACATTTTTTTTTGCGACAGAGCTAGGAAGATAGATCTACATGGTACCATCACTCTTTCCTTACCTTCTCCTTTGCTATTGTTTGGTGAAACATTCGGGTCTTCAAGAACTGTTTATACTAATTTTTTATCTGCAATGAAAGTTTTCACATTTGATGAGTTTCCACTGTTTTATGAGGCATTCCTCACTTTATTTTTTAACATCATTTCGTCTCATTTGTGTTAAATTGTGATGCAATTTACGATTTCGTATGTTTGTGTTATCTGACAACTTTTTGTTCACGTGTTGTAATTATCGGTCTAAATGGCGCAGTAAAAACCGGTTAGCGATCTGGGCCTGTTGCTTTCAGCTGTTTCTTTTTCACGGGACAGTTCTTGATTAGTGATATATCTGTCATCCATTTAACATTCTTCCAGTTTTATTCAATCCTGATGTGATGTTTGACGTAATATGTCGCTACAAAGATTCCATGTCGTTCTGTCTATCTGTTTTCGTATCAATCGATATTGCTTTGATTGTTTAGCAGTGTTGTGATGCAGGTTTCGAAGCTCATATCACTACCTTCGAATGTTGTTGTTCAATTCGCACTAATTTTCAAGTAGATACTATCTCCTATGCCTTATATGCTAATATCAACGCAAATTCGACTTGAAGTGGGACCGACGTTTGTGGGAGACGGAGAAAGCGACAAAGAGCTAATGGAACGGTTAGAGGCGAATCCTTCACGACAACTTGGCAACGAATTTGTGGCAAGTTGTTCTTTTTCTTGATTCCTGGAATCTTGATTTTTGTCGCATCACTACGGTTTTTTTGCAGGAGTACATGACAGCATTAGCACCTCGTCAAGTACTGGACATTTTAGAAAAGGAGGGTTGGAAAGTGGTTGGAATGGCCGGTATCGGTCAAACTTGTGCATGGACCCTACATAGAGAATATTGATGTTTTGTTGCTCATCTGTAGTTTCTGCATTCCATGTGCCTTACTCTCGTTCCATTATCGCAATAAAGATTCGACTGAACCATATACAAACTGTGACACCATTATATATTTCTTCGTTATCTAGTACGCCATAGAGAACTGTTAATTTTTCATCTTCAGTGACATCCCTGAAACTGGATGCTTGAACACACGACTTGAATCCTTACCTAGCCCGACAGTGGAGATCTTCGTAGATCCATGGTGAGCAGACATTCCATTTTCTCTTTAGTTCGCAAAACATTTGTTAAGTTCGTTTTTTTTTCTGTGCAGTGTATAGTACAACTTCATTTAGGTTCAAACTGCTACGTTAGTTAAGATCGCTGCTGGCGGATTTTTGGTAGGGTCGACGGCACTGTATTTGGCACAGAAGTCTGTGCAACGCAAAGTGCGAAATTTTCCTCATTACATCGAAAGTTTGGAAATCGTCGCTCAACATGACCGTGCAAAAGTGAGCTCAATCTTCCAATGACATCTAGTTTCCCTTTTCAACTTCTCAAGCTAAAGTATGTGTTGTGCTAATAATTCATTGGCGTTCTCCTAATGTTTTGTTCAGGATGCATTAGGCCCACCGATCAAGGTTGGATCAGTAGACTTAGCAGATCGTCGGCATAATTTCGTAGGAAAAACCACAAGCATGGTGAGTTGTCAAACCGATCATGCTAAACTGATCATTGGGCAGCAGCAGCGCATTGGAAGCATGCGATTATCCAATTCATTCATACGAATCAAGGAAGGTAACATGATGCAATTTCATGGGAAGGACATTCAAACTTTGCCATTGGAACGCTCAGTTGTTTTGACGGGTGACAGATTCCTAACTGGGATAAGCTGTCCCTCAGCCGATCTAGAGCGGGTAGTGTTTGCTTCTGTGTGGTAGCGGTGGGGTTGACGACGGTGAAAAGATCAAGTGTGGGTTGTATTTTAAGGAGTTGAGGGCTTTGCTTGTGAGAAATGGGTAACTTTTGTTCTATTCTTGTTGTTTTTTAACCTAAAAAGAATTATGAAGTGGACATTATAGAGCATTTGCCGTTTCTTGAGAGACATTGTGCTAATCTCTCCCTCGACACCCCGGTTTGGGTATTTTGGGGGAAGGAATTTAGTCAGACGACTGGTCTCAGAATCCAGTGGTACAAAAACATGGTGGTGAGGGGCGGGAGCGTCGAGAGAGACCCTTTAAGAGGAGGGCAGGGGATCATAAAATTTCTAAAATGAGGCATTTGTGAACATGACCTTTTGATCCTGTCCCGCGATACAAGCACAATGTGACGTGCTAGCTCAGCGGAGTATGTTTACGTTAGGCTGTCCTGACCAAAACGTTCCAAGTTATTACAGTTGCGGATTCCAGTGACAGGAACAATATCTGGCGGTTACATGGACGTCATGGCTGTGCGAGATGATGAAAGCAAACCTTTTGTCACGGCAAAAATAAGGTAGGCGGCTTGTCGTTTGTTGCTTGAGGCAAATAGTCTGAAGCCATGCTCATAATCCAAGGGAGGCTTTCTTATTTTCAAATGCTTAATAATTTATTCATGATGCGTATGCGTTCAATGTCGTTACTGAATGTTTTTTATACTTGCTTTTGTTGAGCATTTGGATGCGTCGTAATGCACGTGAACAAAAACACTACTAGGCCATTGGGAAAATATGTACACTTTGTTCAAGTTCCCAGACTTCCGTCAACCAAAGGTTCTCTAGGTGGGAGGGTTGAGCCTAAGATCTGAAATAGTGTATATGTTTATGTTCATTATAAAGGGAGGATATGGTAAACCCAAGAAGGACAAGACACGTGCGCGGCGAAAGGCGAGCCCGTAGCGGTTCTAGCTTCAGCAAGGCCGTAACCGTAGTGAGCATCGTCTTCGTAGAGAGCCCATCTCCGGTGCCTTAATGACAGTAGCGTGTCGGTACTGATAGTGACTTTTATCAACGCCGTTACTTTTTCATTTTGGAAAGATATTTCACTTCTGCAGTTCTTTGTTTCAGTTCATCTGTATATTACGTTATCAATCAAAGCATAGTTTCTTGGCATGATGCAGGATATTGGAATTGACATGTCCTAACGAACTCGGTCTTGGTTGCTTTCTCACTAAAGCGGAAATCATAAGGCGGAGTGGGGTCCAGTCTCGCCAATATTTGGCTGCTTTTCTTGATTTTTTAACACTGTATCACGTACCACTTCTAATCAATTCCGAGGGCGACCGAATATTCGCGCCAACTGCCTTTAGCAGGAGCGAAAAGATGAAACAATTTGTTTCGTCGCATATCCCATGGCTGGTAGACTTTTATTTTCCGCAGTTGTGCATTTCGTAATTGAAGGGAGGTTCATAGCCGTAAAAAGAATCAGTTGTTTCTGTGCTCTCCACTCAAATGTGCTTGCTACACGCACGGCATCAAAGAGTATCAATAACATCAGAAGTCACACATTGTATGGGTCTTTGAGATTGTGCACTGCTAAATGCGTAACTGCTATATTCCCGGGTACTGTATGCGAAGGTATTATTTAATGTTCTCACAGGAAGGTCTTTCAGGGTGTGCCAAGCTTTTTCAAAACGGTCTTTTGCATGATATAGGGGCACATGCGGGAACCACAGAACCATGGTTAATTTTTCCTGAACGGCCCTCTGAATACCAGAAAAGGGGGTCCCAAAGTGTATTCGTAAGAGTTACACGGTCCTATGTTGATAATTAGAACCGTCAGTAACCCTTACAAATAGACTTTGATTGAAAAACTGGTGAAAAGGTGTGACTAGGGACCCCTTTTCTGGTATTCAGAGGGCCGTTCAGGAAAAATTAACCATGGTTCTGTGGTCCCGCATGTGCCCCAATATCATGCAAAAACCGTTTTGAAAAAGCTTGGCACACCCTGAACGACCTCCCTTGTCAGTGCCGTCGTTGTTCTCAGCCTGGAGAAATGATCCGTATTCTTCCATAAAGAGTTTCAGGTTGATATTGGACGACGCGGCAATCTCAATTTACGATACTGGTACCTGGAAGGATAGCGAAGTTGAAAAAGCATCCGATTCA